CGCACCACGCGTCGATGAGACGACCTGCGCCATCTGCTGGCGCACGGGGGCGCGCTTCCGACCGGTCCCGTGCGGGCCAGGGGCTGATTCCGCTACACTTACGCTGTTTACGAGCGCTACGCGACGAGGCCGCGCGATGTTTCCTCGTGCGATGGTGGCGCTGTCGACTCACGACGACGTCGCCTAACCGGCCATGCCACCTGGCAGCCGCAGACGAGGTGCGCGTACGTAAGGGCGCACGCGTCGGGGAGGGCGTTACAGTGCGAAGTTTACGCGCTGTGACAGCCTTTAAAACTGACGGTGATAAATGTCGTTGGCTAATTTAGTGTATTGTAGATTATGTTTTGTTATTTCGGATGAATCTGATATCTTAATGGATAGCCGCGTTCGCCAGCAGTATAATTCAATACGACTGTGGGGCATTCCAGGCTTGAGAGTTTTTGCACACCTAAGTTCTTTTAAGAATTTTTAGGATGCTCTAAAGTTTTTGCCTACTTAAATATCAGTTACAGAACGACTAGCGGTTGTGGTTAATCATACAGAGGTAATTACTAGCACGCTAATGGTTGCGAATTTATCAAACACTTAGGGTTCAAGACGCAAATTTCATTACAAACGCTAGGGTTGTTACAGACGCCTAATTCAATTACAAACGCTAAGGTTGTTACAGGCCGCTAAATTCATTTACAAACGCTAGGGTTGTTAACAGAAGCTAAATTCATTACAACATAACTAGGTTGTTACAGACGCCAGATTCATTACAAACGCTAGCGGTTGTTGACGACTCTAAATCATTAACAATACGCTAGGGTTGTTTACAAGACGCTAAATATCATTCCAAACGCCCTCAAGGTTGTTACAGGCCCTAAATTCATTACAAAATCGCTAGGGTTGTTACAGACGCTAAATTCCATTACAGAACGCTAGGGGTTTTACAGACGGCTAAATTCTTACAAAGCGCTAGGTTGTTACAGCGCTAATTCCTTACCAAACGCTAGATTGTTACAGACCGACCAAATTCATACAAAGTGCTAGGATTGTCTACGCAGACCTAAATTTATTACAAACGCCTAGGGGTTGCTTGCAGACCCTAAATTACATTACAACACTAGGCGTTGTTACAGACGCTAAAATTCTTACAAACGTAGGGGGTTGTTACAGACGGGTAAATTCATTACAAACGCTAGGGTTGTTACAAACCGGTGTCCACCCCGACGGGACTTCATTACAAACGCCTAGGGTTGTGTGACAGACGTAAATTTCATTACAAACGCTAGGGTTTGTTACAGACGCTAAATTCATAAACAACGCTAGGGTTGTTACAGACGCTAATATCATTAGCAAAACGCTAGGTTGGTTACACGACGGCTAAATTATCATTACAAACGCTAGGGGTTGTTACATGACGCCAATTCATTAAGCAAACGCTAGGGTTGTTACAAGACGCATTCATTACAAACGCTAGGGTTGTTAAGACGCTAACATTCATTACAACGCTAGGCTGTTCAGGACGCCAAATTCATTACAAAGTGCTAAGGTTGTTACAGAACGCTAAATTCATTAACAACGCTAAGGTTGTTACAGACGCTGAAATTCCTTACGAACGCTAGGGTTGCTTACAGACGCAAATTCAATTACAAACGCTAGGTTGTTACAGACGCTTAGCGGTGTTACCAATCTGGAGCGACCGTGGCAGAAAAAATCAAACACAAGACAAACAACCGCGCGTCGCTATCGTGAGCGTGCACAACTAAACGCGTTGCCCATCATTGCCTCGCCTTCAGGTATTTACTTTGATCATGTGCGCCTCGCTGCTGGAGTTCGGAGCGCGCGTCTGCTTCTCGCCGACCCGAACCCAGGCGAACTGCTTTCCGTCACGTGGACCAGCCCGAGAGCCGCTAGCGGCTGGCCATCAAGGTCGTCGCATTACCGCGTCGCCCAACTGCTGCCTGCAGGAGGGTGCCAATCCGAACACCATGGTGGCGTGCGCGTACACGTATGGCTAGAGTTTGGTTCAGGGAGTTGTTTATTATTAAAAGGTAGTACTCGATATGGCGGTAAAATTTCTGCGGCCTGGATGCAATTCTATACGATGATATATATATATATATTATACTATATATTATATATTACATATTACATCAACACATGTCGCTTTCATTTTCTCTAGCATATTCTCCAATATTTATCTTATTCTTCATATCTTTTCACCCGTATTTGTCCATCCATCGTGTCTTTTCTCCAACCTCTCTCGGACAACAGATATTGTTTCTCCTCCTCTTTCTTTCACACACGAACGAACGTACGCGCGCGCACACACACACACAAAGACATGCACACGCACACGCACACGCACACGCACACGCGCACGCACGCACACGCACGCACGCACGCACACACACGCGCGCACGCACGCACGCACGCACGCGTTCTCTCTAACATCGTGCTCCCGCTGCAGGTATTACTTCGGCAGTGAGCTGAGCCTCGTACAGCCAGACGACGACGACTTCCTCGAGGTCCTGCTTAGCTACGGCGCTTACCCGAACACGTACGACCGCAGCGGCCTCACTCCGCTCATGAAATGCTGCCGCTGCATGCGATCCGTGCTCGTGCTGCTCTCTCACGGCGCCGACGTGAACGCGCGCGCCACCAAGCGGCAGGACCGGCGCACGGCGCTGCACTACGCCGTGCTTGGCGGCGACGGCGCCGTCGTCAATCTGCTCATCAAGCAGGGCGCCGACGTCAACATGGTCGCCGACTACGAGTACCCGTCGCCGCTCGACATGGCGATACTGCGCGACGACGTCGTCATGGTGATGCTGCTCGTGCGCGCCGGCGCCGACGTCAACGCGATGTCGCGCACCTTCGGTTCGCCGCTGCACGTCGCCTGCGCGGCGCGCCTCGACAACCAGGTCGACGTCGCGCGCTTCCTGCTGGAGAGCGGCGCCGACGTGAACCTCTGTCGCGACTACGGCGGCGGCGCCATGCTGCGCACGCCGCTCGTTGAGTACTTCAACAGCCGCGCCGACGGCGACGACCACGACGACGAGCTCGTCGCGCTGCTGCTGCGCCACGGCGCGCGTCTGTCGATCGCGCGCTGCAGTGGCGCCGACCTGACGGGCGTTCTGCGCGCCGACGTCATCACGAATATCGCGCGCTCGCCGCCGCTACTCGAGCTGATCGCGAGCGTCGCCGACGCGTACGACACGCGCGTTGTCGTCGCCGACCGAATGATAGCCGACGACGTGACAGAGGCCGTGCTGCGGCGCTGCTGCAACCCGCTACCGCTGAGGCAGCTCATCAGGCGAGAGCTGAGGAGCTACGCCAGGGGGCGCTACCACGACATGATCGACCAGCTGCCGCTACCGAACCGACTCAAGGCTTTCCTCGGATTTGAGTTTTCGTGATCATGACTGCGCCCCGATGACACCAACGATGACGACAACATGACGACAACGATGACTATCACAGCAACGGCAACGGCGGTGACGTCGATGATAAAAACAGCATCAACCATTGGCGGTGATGACAGCAGCAACAACAGCAGCGATGGTGATGGTGATGGTGATGGTGGCAACAACAACATCAACAACGGTTATAACAACAACAACAACAACAACAGCAAGGCGGAGATAACAGCAGCAACAACAGCAAGGCGGCGATAACAGCAGCATCAACAGCAACGACGGTGATGGTGGCAGCAACGACAGCAACGGCGGTGATGGTGGCAGCAACGACAGCAACGGCGGTGATGGTGGCAGCAACGACAGCAACGGCGGTGATGGTGGCAGCAACGACAGCAACGACAGTGATAGCAGCAACGACAACAACGACGGTGATGGTGGCAGCAACGACAGCAACGACAGTGATAGCAGCAACAACGACAAACACATTGCAGCTTCATCACATTAAATGAAAACTTGATTTATAATTATGCCAATTATTTAGATGATCCCGCATCAAGCATCATCCACGAATTATTATTATTATTATTATTATTATTATTATTATTACGTAATATAACTCGCCTAACCGGTGATACGTGTAAAGTCTGTATATATGAGTGCACTGTAAAGCTATGTAAATACGATTAAACGCAGTTGGAATCTATACAGAGAAACAAGCTGTTTATGCAATTAATGCAGTTAATATTTTCTTGTCTTCGATCTTTGTTCATCATGATCTCTATTAGCTGATGTATTGCTGGCTTTACGACACCCTCGCAACCGATCGAATATGTGTCCTACACAGGGATTGAGTTAAGAGTTATGATTAGCGTGTATTCACGTAGGGAGCCAACGCGTATGAATTTAACGCTAGCTTACGCAGCGTCTAGTGAGTGACTCACAGGCTCTAGGATTCCCAAGCGCACTGCGCACTACTATAGTCCCGGAGTTATATCTGTACCAGGGAGCTATTCTTGGCCGCATGCCACGCTCCCAGTCTCCATCTGCAGTCTAATGCTCTTTACCGCACGGTGTTCTTTCTTTGTCTCTATCTCTCTCCTCTTCTTGTTCTCCCCCTCTCTCGCGCGCGCGCTCTCTCACTACCTATCTATCTATTTATCTCGCTCTCGGTCACTCTCCCATCCCCCTTTCTTCTTTTTCGCACACGCGCGCTCTCTCTCTCCCTCACACAATCTTTTTATCTCCTCTCCTTTTTACATTTCTCTCATTCTCGTTTGCTTCCTCCGAGTTTTACATCTCCTTAAATTATTCGCTCTCGGCTCCTCCGGCGCTAAGCTCTATCGTCAACACGCTGCCGGAATACGACCCGACGTCTAACACACACACACACACACACACACACACACACACACACACACACACACACACACACACACAGTTCGAATGTAAGGCGCAGTGACATTTTGGCAGCGATCCACGTTGCTCGAAGCCCGCGTGTAAGCGCAGCGCTGTTTTGACTCGGTCGTTACTTGTGCGCTGCGCCCTTCCGTCTGGTAAGCACGCGCGCCGCCATTGCAGCCACCGCTGCGCACCGCTATGGATGCTGCGAGCATTTCGCCGAAGAAGCCACGCTCGGGATTCCGCCGCGAGCATCCTCATTCTCACAGCGAGTGCCGGCTTCCTCCTGTGTAGTGTGAAGTGCATGCCTGTATAGGAGGACAAGGAGAAGGAGGAGTAGGAGGAGGAGGAGGACGAGGAGAGGGTGGTAGCAAAACATGGACAGGCGTCTTTACTCGGTAAGCACAGCTGTGTGTGTGTGTGTGTGTGTGTGTGTGTGTGTGTGTGTGTGTGTGTGTGTGTGGTGTGGAGCGTTACTCGTGCGACTGTATGCAGCCACAATTAAGGCCACGCCAGTGCACCGAGATCGAAGTACGACACGGCGTAAACCATTTCCTAACTGTGTATTAACGTTTTAAATTCGTTCAGCGAAATGATGCGTGATG